TGGAAAGTGTGTGAACTCTTTAGAATTGTCTATATTTCTGCATAAATATAACCCAAAAAAATCGTCAGATTTTCATGCAAGTCGACAAAGGGAACCCAATCAAACAAATGAGATGATAATATATACTTTGTCATTTATTTATTCAGGAAAATGATCCAATATTACATATCTGTGAGCAGCTAAAGTATGTGAATCTCTAGGATGAGCTGTTAATTTGAAGGTGAAATTAGAGTCCATCTGTTCAGAGGTGTTTTTCATCAGTGAGATGATCAGGTGTCAGTGTGTGCCCTGTTTTATTTAAAGAACAGGGATCTATCAAAGTTTGGTCATGTTTGTGGAAGTGTATCATGGCACAAGCAAATGAGATCTCTGAGGACCTCACAAAAAGAGTTGATGTTGCTCATCAGGCTGGAAAAGGTTTCAGAGCCATCTCTAAAGCGTTTGGACTCCACCAATCCACAGTCAGACAGATTGTGTACAAATGGAGAAAATTCAAGACCACTGTTACCCTCCCCAGGAGTGCTCCACCAACAAAGAGCACTCTAAAAGCAAGACGTGTAGAAGTCCACTAGGTTTCAAAGGACTGCAGGCTAACTTCTAAGCAACTAAAGGCCTTTCTCTCATTGGCTAATGTTAATGTTTATGAGCCCATCATCAGAAGAAAACTGAACAACCATGGTGTCCATGGCAGAGTCGCAAGAAGAAAGCCACTGCTCTCCAAAAAGAACATTGCTGCTCATCTGCAGTTTGCTTAAGATCATGTGGACAAGCCAGAGGAATACTGGAGAAATGTTTTATGGATGGATGAGACCAAGTGGGTGCAGGACACTATAGTTCATGTAAGTGAGGATAGCAAAATAAAGTAAACTGTGACAAATTATACCCAAAATTTATTCATACTGTGGACTACCAGTAAAATTGATACAAATTTGGGACCAAAAATTATTCAGACCTAGTCTGGGAAAAAAAAATTTGAAGTTGAGGTTTGCATGAACCTGGTTTAAATTTGAAATAAAATAAACATTAACTGTAATAAAATTAAATAGAAAAAAATGTATTTGAACTAGTTGCCAGGGCAATATTTCTATTTTCTTTTAGTTTAAGTTGAAGTACTAAAATAACTAAATCAAAAATAAACTAAAACAAAAAGTAAACCTTAAAGGGTTAGTTTACCCAAAACCGAAAATTCTTTCATTAATTACTCACCCTCGTGTTGTTCGAAACTCGTAAGACCTTCATTCATCTTCGGAAAACAATTGTTTGTTTGTTTGTTCCTAAAAGCCACTGTGCAGGATTGATCAGCAGTTACAAGAAACGTTACTTGCAGTTATTGCTGCAAAAGGGGGTCACACCAGATATTGAAAGTAGGGATGCGCCGATATCGATACTGGTATCGGTATCGGCCCGATACTGAGCTCCAGTACTCGTACTCGTACTCGTACTCTTACTCTTACTCGTTAAAATGCCACGATACCAAATGTCGATACCACACAGCATGTGATAAGCGCCATATTCAGACAAAGAAACACCGACAGCAGAATGGAGTTAAGGATGTCTACTACAAAGTATATGTATGCAATGAATACAACGTTAAACATTCAGTATTAACGCCTGTATAGCTGATGTGCGCAAGCTGATAAACAAAGCAGGCTGAGTGGATTGAGCGCGCAGCGGCGCAGATGCGCGAGCTTGTTGAGTGAATATATCTTTCTCACAGACATCACTGGAAAGTTTGTAGCTCGGTCGGATACGTCAAAAACAAGTAAGTAAAACAATGCACAAGTTACTTAACGGTAGGGGGAGAGCGCGCATGCACTTCTGTTGTGTGATCTTTGATGTTCACTCACTTAGCACGCATCATTTGGATTAAAACTAAATCGTAAAAATAAGACAATTTATAGGGGCATTCACTATAAACATAATTTATTTTCAACCTTAGGCATACACGACTTTCTGGCGAAAGTGAGTCTAGCAGCCTGTGTGAAATGCGCTAGGCTGTACTACTGTCCTCTCATTCTGCACCAGTACAAATACGTGCACGCGTTGCGCGTGTTTTGCTTGCTTGAGTGTTTCTGCATTATATGAGTGGCTTTGGAATATAAATCGCAGCACGTTTCAGATGAAAAAACGCGACTTCTATTTCTGAAAATATCACAGTTAAAAGATTTATAACGAGCGGTTCCCAGCATTATTACAGCAAAGCGCGTGATTACAGTACTAAGCCGCTGCAATGGAGCAGCTCTAATGCTATTAAATTAAAGATGATGTACCATAGAGCAAAACAATGAACAGTGAAAGTAACAAAAACTTGTAAAATACATTTTAATGGGCATAATTAAGTGTGAAAATAACCGAAGGATATACAGTCAAACCAAAAATTATTCAGAGACCAGATATCATTTTTGATATTTCTTTACTAGTGGGTGCAGGACACTATAGTTCATTTATGTAAGTGAGGATAGCAAAATAACGTAAACTATGACAAATCATACCAAAAAATTATTCATACAGTGGACTACCAGTAAAATTGATACAAATTTGGGACCAAAAATTATTCAGACCTAGTCTGGGAAAAAAAAATTTGAAGTTGAGGTTTGCATGAACCTGGTTTACAGCATGCCCAGGAGACTACAGGCTGTCATTAAGGCTAAGGGCTGCCCGACTAAGTATTCATAGTTGTGTAAATACTGTCATACTAACAGCTGTTAGTTGGTTGATTGCAATCCATTACATACCTTTATATCAATGTTATCTAACATTATCAAGCTGAATTTGTTCTGACACAGTTTAACTCGGGAGTTCTTGTTATATTTTATTACCATTTTCTAAACTATAGCGAATAAACTGTGATAATGTGAGAAATGTTGAAGGTGTCTGAATAAATTTGGGTTTGACTGTATCTATTTGATAAATGACGTTAACCAACTAACGTTATACATACTCTTTTGGTTTCTGTACCCAATATTTAAAAAATTTACAAATGCAATAAAAAAATATTGGTATCGGTACTCGGTATCGCCAAGTACCAAAAATAAAAGTATCGGTATCGGGCGAGTACTGGAAAAAGTGGTATCGGTGCATCCCTAATATATTCATTTAAATCCAAAGTAAATTTAATAAATCAAAAAAGTGACAGTAAAGACAGTCAAAACATTAAAGGGTTAGTTCACCCAAAACCGAAAATTCTTTCATTAATTACTCACCCTCGTGTTGTTCGAAACTCGTAAGACCTTCATTCATCTTCGGAAAACAATTGAAGATATTTTTGATGAAATCTGAGGGCTCTTTGACCCTCCCATAGACAGCAAGGTAACTTCCATGTTCAAGGTCCAGAAAAGTACCAAGATGATCGACAAAGTAGTCCGTGTGACATCAGTGGTTCAGCTGTAAAGAACGAAGGTCTTACGGGTTTTGAACAACATGAGGGTGAGTAATTAATGACAGAATTTTCATTTTTGGGTGAACTAACCCTTTAAGCAACATGACTGTTTTTAACATAATATAACCAAAAAATAAGAACTAATATTAATAATTGAACACAAATAATAATTGACAATAATTGAGCAGCAAATCAGCATATTATAATGATTTCTGACGGATCATGTGACACTGACGAATTAAATTTTAAGAATATTTCACAATATTGCTGTTTTTACGGTATTTGTTGTAAATTAATTAAAATTAAATCAATTAAATTTGAAAACATTATAAAAAAAAATTGTGTATTGTGTAAAGAAAAATTGAAAAGGTATGGCATAACAAAATATAAAAACAAACAGCATTTATTTCAAAGTAAGGAGAGATGATGACATCATTATGGAAGTTCACAGGATAAATAATAATAATTATATATATATATATATATAAGCATAATTGTACATTTTTATCTCATAATTTAGACTTTTTTCAGTATTGTGATATGTAAACTCAGATTAGAGAGAGATAAACTCGCAATTGCATGAAAAAGTCAGAATTGTGGGATAAAAAGTGGCACTTACCTTTTGTATTTTTTGTCATACATCTTACTTGAGTGTTTTTTCTGTTGACATTAAATTGAAAAATAAAAGGAAAAATCTCTATAGAGAGGAAAGAGAAATGCTCCATCAGCATGAGTGTATGTAAACACTCAAACGTCACTGCCACAGTGTAAAGTTCCTTATTTCTTGGCAGTTAAACCGAAATCAGTGAGTCATTTTTCTGGATGAGTGGGAATACCATGAAAGAGCCTGTGAATGCCAGTGACAGGAAAACCATGCTTTCTGAAGCTTTAAACCAGACAATTCAGCAGAAATGATTCCCTAGTCATTTCATTGCTGGCATAAGCTGATTGGAAATGCAACATTTTTTTTTATTATATATATATATATATATATATATATATATACATACATACATACAGTGTTTTATATATACTATGTTTTTTATAAGACATGTATGTGTATATATATATATATATATATATATATATATACATACATACATACAGTGTTTTATATATACTATGTTTTTTATAAGACCTATACAGATGTATGTGTGTTTTACAGTGGTCACTCTTTACTCTACTCTGGGTGGTCCTGCTATTGCTCATGGACTCAATGAAGCTGAAGTTTCTCACATCATCACCAGCAAAGAACTTCTGGAAACCAAACTCAAGGTGATCAAACACTCAAAATCCAGACTATACAAAGTGATTCATGTAGTAATCAACCTTGTTTTAGTCAGATGAAACATTATATTTAATATGACTAACAAAAGATATACCATCTAATAAAACTGAAAATATACACCACAGTTTGAAAGTGTTACGTTTGGAATATTTTTTTTTTATTATTTTTTTAATTTTTTTAATGTTTTTGAAAGAAGACTCTTCTGCTCACCAAGGCTACATTTATTTGATAAAAAATACAATAAAAATGAAAATATTGTGAAATATTTTTCAATTCAAAATAGCTGTTTTATATTGTAATATATTGTAAAATGTAATTTATTTCTGTAATGCAATGCTGAATTTTCAGCATCATTACTCCAGTCTTCAGTGTCACATGATCCTTCAGAAATTATTCTAGCATAATAGACTTCTTTCAAAAACATAAAAAAATCTGAGTAATGTGGCCAGTTGTGTATATATAATTTACTGTATGTATTGCTTGCAAAGGAGAAAGATGGTGTAACCTTGACCCTTTGAATCCAATGGGCATGGAAAACTATACTAATCAATAATATCACAGCCTACTTTCCATAATCCAATTAACCAAGCCCCTCCTACTGAATATTATATTTTGCTTTGAAATGCTTCAGTTAAATACACACACTAATGCTTGTATTTTGACAGAATATTTTGTTAGAGGTGCCAAGATTACAACACATCATCGTTGTGGACGATAAACTCAAGATCGGCTCTGAATACCCACGAGGCATCAGTGTCCACAGCATGGCGGCTGTGAAGAGGCTGGGGGCCCATCCTGAGAATGGTACTAGTGTGTGTGTGTGTGTGTTTGAGGTCGCTTCAGGTCATGTGAATGAGAAATCCTCCATCTGTGTCAAATTAAGGCCAGGGTCGAGGGTGTTCCTGACTCTTTCACTCCGCCATTTACTTCCTCCATTATAGCTCTCTGTGAAGCAGGACTGACCCTCAACAGCTGGTAGTAGTAGTCGTTTACACACTGGATAGTGTGTATATGTGTGTGTCGGGTCACGTTTTCTCACACTGCCACAGACTTCACATGACATCCAGCTGATCTTCCTCCTTCGGCTCGACATGACATTCGCTCTGTTCTGTGTCAGCATGCTAATGCTAAATCACGTTGTGCCTCGAAACACACAAATGTACACACTCAAATTCCCATGTTCCACATTTATGGTTCTGAAAACTTTGAATGGCTTAAATGGCACTTTGGTTTTCAAAGCTAAAACGTTCTGTTCTGCTGCTGACACTTCCTGTTCTTGTCTTATTTATTTATTCACACATACACACAATATTTTTTACTTTAATAGTCTTATCAATGTACTTCAAACAACTATAAATTCAAGTTTACAACCGATCCTCCCCTCATCTTCAATGTTATGGGTGTTTTGCCAAATAGTAGCATCATTTGTCTTCATTTACTGTCGTACTAAACCATTATTGCTATTGTTAAGTAAAACTAAAATGTTGTTAAAAATAAATAAAAATGACAAAAGCACAGCAAAATTACTAAAACACATTTTTTAATAGAAATATAATAATAAAAGCTCATTCTACATATTAAAATATATAATCATATATACATTTAAAAATTACTCAAATAACACTGTTCATCCGTAAGTCATACAAGTTTATGCAGCTCTTCCTGCACACTGAACAAAAATAAAGCCACCATAAAAGTATCATTAAAGTAGTTCAGTTTTCATTTAATATGCTTTCATTGTACAGAAAACATCTCTTGTTTCCACAGAAAACGGAAAGTTTTAAGAAAAACTTTAAGAAAACAGATCAGAGCTTATTTTATTGGGTCGTAATATTTCTGTCTTAAATACCTTTAATTTCTATATTTAAAACATAAAAATATAAATAACATAATTTGTTTTATAAATATAATTTCATCAAAGATCAAAGCACTGCTCTATGATGTCATAAGGATTCAGGAGATCAAAGCACTGTTCTGTCACAGTGAAGCATTCACTAGATATAATTAGTTCAAATTGAATTGCTAGTGATTAATACAGTAGTCCCTTAATATTTTAGTGGTTGCTGTGTGTGTGTGTGTGTGTGTGTGTGTGTGTGTGTGTGTGTTTTGTGTGTGTGTGTGTGTGTGTGTGTGTGTGTGCTTGAGGTGGTTGTGTGTGTGTGTGTGTGTGTTTGAGGTCGCTTCAGGTCATGTGAATGAGAAATCCTCCATCTGTGTCAAATTAAGGCCAGGGTCGAGGGTGTTCCTGACTCTTTCACTCCGCCATTTACTTCCTCCATTATAGCTCTCTGTGAAGCAGGACTGACCCTCAACAGCTGGTAGTAGTAGTCGTTTACACACTGGATAGTGTGTATATGTGTGTGTCGGGTCACGTTTTCTCACACTGCCACAGACTTCACATGACATCCAGCTGATCTTCCTCCTTCGGCTCGACATGACATTCGCTCTGTTCTGTGTCAGCATGCTAATGCTAAATCACGTTGTGCCTCGAAACACACAAATGTACACACTCAAATTCCCATGTTCCACATTTATGGTTCTGAAAACTTTGAATAGCTTAAATGGCACTTTGGTTTTCAAAGCTAAAACGTTCTGTTCTGCTGCTGACACTTCCTGTTCTTGTCTTATTTATTTATTCACACATACACACAATATTTTTACTTTAATAGTCTTATCAATGTACTTCAAACAACTATAAATTCAAGTTTACAACCGATCCTCCCCTCATCTTCAATGTTATGGGTGTTTTGCCAAATAGTAGCATCATTTGTCTTCATTTACTGTCGTACTAAACCATTATTGCTATTGTTAAGTAAAACTAAAATGTTGTTAAAAATAAATAAAAATGACAAAAGCACAGCAAAATTACTAAAACACATTTTTTAATAGAAATATAATAATAAAAGCTCATTCTAAATATTAAAATATATAATCATATATACATTTAAAAATTACTCAAATAACACTGTTCATCCGTAAATCATACAAGTTTATGCAGCTCTTCCAGCACACTGAACAAAAATAAAGCCACCATAAAAGTATCATTAAAGTAGTTCAGTTTTCATTTAATATGCTTTCATTGTACAGAAAACATCTCTTGTTTCCACAGAAAACGGAAAGTTTTAAGAAAAACTTTAAGAAAACAGATCAGAGCTTATTTTATTGGGTCGTAATATTTCTGTCTTAAATACCTTTAATTTCTATATTTAAAACATAAAAATATAAATAACATAATTTGTTTTATAAATATAATTTTTTATTTTTATTACTTGTATGCTTTCACCTTGAAAATAGTCATAGAAGCTGGCATGGCATTAAAAAACAAAAAGCAAACAAATCTGACTGAATATTGTGATTTTTCCAGGGCTGGGAAATTCATAGAAATGAATAACATCTTAAAAATGTGTTGTGTGTGTATATACATATTTCATGTTATTTTAATTGGCTTGAAATCTATAAATCACATTTTGAGATTTAAAAATGAATCACAAATGAAAAAAAAGAAATTAATCTGTCAAAGGGTATGGGAGCTGTGTATTAATATATTAAAAACTGAGTACATTCTGAATAAAATATGGAAATTACAATTTTGTCTTCATCCGTGTATTTTTAATTTTGCTATAAGTTTTTTGAAGGAAAACTAAGTAAAGAAGCTCTGTGATGTCACAATGAAACTATGATTTCAGAATTGCACTATGAGATCAAAGCACTGCTCTATGATGTCATAAGGATTCAGGAGATCAAAGCACTGTTCTGTCACAGTGAAGCATTCACTAGATATAATTAGTTCAAATTGAATTGCTAGTGATTAATACAGTAGTCCCTTAATATTTTATATGTAATTTAGTAATTTCTTGTAACTTCCGCCTGCTTCTGTCCACAGCGTCGAGGCAGAGACGGCCTCCGTGTGCGTCTGATGTGGCTGTGATCATGTACACCAGCGGCTCCACTGGCGTGCCAAAAGGAGTCATGATCTCTCACAGTAATATTATTGCTGGAGTCACCGGCATGGCCGAGAGGATTCCCAGCCTCGGGTATGAAACACATCCACACATACTGTACATGCTAACATCCTGTCATCTGTCGTCATTCACTAATGTGTTTGTAGATATTGTATGTTATCAGTGTTTCCTAGAAAACCAGTAATTTCCAATGGATAAAATAAACAGAAAGCAAAAAAAAAAAAAACGGTGACAATTATGGGTCTGTGGGGATTTCTTTGCCACGCACTGTATGTTATATATGTCATGTATATTTTATACATGACATTTGTGTGTTGTTTTTACAAATCTTGTGAACGAAATCTAGCTAACAAAATATATATTGTGTGTTGGAGTGGTCCAGACGCTACAATATATTCCCACCCCGGTTTGGCAGCAGAGCGCAGTATTATCAGCCTCCAGAACAAAAATAAAACTGTCACAGATTTTTGCTATGCCTTTGATTACGCATAGGCAAGTATCCACAAGTAAAGCGAAAGAGATGATTAGTTCACGTGCGCTGCCGCTTCTCTTGATCTGAGACGTCTACACCGATCTATCACACCATATTAAAGAGCGCCTTGAATTTCCTAATAAAATGGACAGAATTTGAAATCTGAGAATGTTTCATATCAAAGGTAGGCGCACTATATGTACAGTTCATTCATCAACTGAAAACAGAATCGCTTGGGATTTAAGAATTGATATCGGTTCATAAAAATGAGAATCTATTCATATCGAGAAATCTATTATTATTATTTTTTTTACCCAGCCCTAGCATATTTCGTTGTATTTAGTGGCCTCCGCTGTCACTGTGTGGTGTGCTGTTGAACATGAAAAGTGACGCACTGTCTCTCTGTTCTCTTCATAAATAAATATATGCACAAGCCTATATGCTCATAGGTTCATTATTAAAAATGAAAATGCGAACAAAAATACAAGCAATTAAATGTGTTATTATAATTAAAATATGAAAATTAAAATGATGGGTAATAATAGATTATGACGGAATGTGTATATATATATATATATCCTACACTGCCGTTCAAACGTTTGGGATCAGTAAGATTTTTAATGTTTTTTAATTTGAGTTTTTTGTTTGAGTCTCGTGCTCATCAAGCCTGTATCTATGTGATCAAAAATACAGAAAAAACTAATATTGTGAGATTTTTTTCAATTTCTAATATTGGTGTTCTGTTTTAATATACTTTAAAGTATAATTTATTTCTGTGATGCAAAGCTGTATTTTCAGCATCATTACTCCAGTCTTCAGTGTCACATGATCCTTCAAAAATGCTGTTGTTTTGTTTGTTTTGTTTTTTTATTCATAAACGAATCCTGAAAAAACTATCACAGGTTCCAAAAAACATGAAGCAGCACAACTGTTAAATGTGTTATTATAATTAAAATATGAAAATTAAAATGATGGGTAATAATAGATTATGACGGAATGTGTATATATATATATATATCCTACACTGCCGTTCAAACGTTTGGGATCAGTAAGATTTTTAATGTTTTTTAATTTGAGTTTTTTGTTTGAGTCTCGTGCTCATCAAGCCTGTATCTATGTGATCAAAAATACAGAAAAAACTAATATTGTGAGTTTTTTTTCAATTTCTAATATTGGTGTTCTGTTTTAATATACTTTAAAGTATAATTTATTTCTGTGATGCAAAGCTGAATTTTCAGCATCATTACTCCAGTCTTCAGTGTCACATGATCCTTCAGAAATGCTGTTGTTTTGTTTGTTTTGTTTTTTTTATTCATAAACGAATCCTGAAAAAACTTTCACAGGTTCCAAAAAACATGAAGCAGCACAACTGTTTCCAACATTGATAATAAATCAGCATATTAAAATGATTTCTGAAGATCATGTGACCCTGAAGACTGGCGTAATGATGCTGAAAATTCAGCTTTGCATCACAGGAATAAATTATATTTTAAAGTATATTAAAATGGAAACTGTTATTTTAAATTGCAATAATATTTCACAAAATAACAGTTTTTTTTCTGTATTTTTGATCAAATAAATACAG